AGATGGATGAAACATCAAAGAAAGAGGCTGTCTGTCACAAGCAGCAGTTCACTTGGATACACTCTTGATAGATTTGTATTGAAACAATCAAAATTATGTGGAGTCCATTAATGAAGAACACATACAGCAACAGTGTCTCAGAACTGGAATTTTCCAATCTCCAGCTCAGATGAAATCATAATGCCAAACCAAAGTGGCATAACCAAAAAGAAACAACAAAGGTGCACGAAACAAAATCAAAATGAAAGAACAAATCTGAAACAAAATGGTCAAATCCAGAGCAAAACTGTCAACACATGTTTTGAGTCAAGCCAAAAATGTTTTCCGGAAAGATTTGCCAAAATCAATACAGGTCTATGAAAGAATTCAGCTTTAATCAGTGTTTCTCAGCAAAACACAGATTTATATTTCAAAAATTCAACCATCTCTGTATATGAAGTTGATCAAGTTCAGGCTTTCTGAAGGTATGCAAGACAAAAACTCTATACATTTTGAATAGTGCATTTCTGTATTGCAATTTATTCTACAGATGCTGTAGTATAAAATGTCCCATCCAAAGTCAGTTGAAGTCTATGGCAAGATTCCCACAAACTTCAGTGAATTAGATATGGTGACAGTGGGGGCTGAGAGATGGAATTAAATAAATACCCTATAATTCTATGCAAGATTTTTTTTTTTTTTTTTTTTTTTTTTCCCCTGATACAATGTTCTACTCTCTTGCAACATAAGTATTCAGCAACGCTGTTCTATCTTTTTTAAAAAAATTGCAAATATGTTAATATAAGTCCTATATGTAAACACCTGAAAAACTTTTCCTCTGATGATGGCCCCCAAGGAGATTCAAGTACTTAATCATGTGTCTAACCTGAAACTTTTTCAAGCCTCATCAGATACATGATTAAGTACCTCTCAGAAAAAAAGAACTAAAAATTCTGGTGAAAGTCTTGGAGGGATAAGATGAAACACGCGGATAATGTTTCAGAAACTCAGAGCCATGTGGTTTCTGTAGAGTGAAAACCACTTGTGATCAAAGTAAAGAAGTTTTTTCATTTTTTTAACAAGATTTTTAGATTTTAAATCATGTACTATTAGTCTGGGGCACTTTTATTTTCATAAAGTCAAGACACTTTGTACAATATAATATTGTAACCAGAACACTGCTGAAGTTAAAATCCTGAATTTAACTGTACTTTTAAATGTTGTCCAGGTTGTCTCTCTTATTGAAAATAGTGCATACCATTTTTAAGGTGAATTTACTGCTTGGGTTACTGTTTTTCATGTATTTTAATAAATATGATTCCTTTTTCAAAGTAAGTAAAATATTCAAAATACAGATTGAGGTTTCTTTTAAGTGAAATTAAAAATTTATATTTTGAGATGTTCCACCAAAGAGACTTTTAATCACAGGATAAGAGTGAAGACTTTAAGCAGGGATGAAGAAAGAGATATCCCCTTTCTTAAATATGTGATTTGTCTTTGTAATGACTAAAACAGATGCCTACTTTGCCACAAATCTATTGCTTCAGAGTATGTGTAAATTCAAACACTGGGCTTATCCTTTCCATGGCTGGGACGCATTTATTTTGGTGGAATATATTATTATTCAGCACGAGCAAAAGTGGCAGATGCAGGTCCTTCGTCACTGCCATTTCATTTCATATTAAATGTACACCATGTGGCCATTACCCTCAGAGCTGAGTCAGTGGCAACTTCACTAGCTCTCACACAGGAGGAAGAGGAAACTTGAGAGGGATGCTGTAAAACAACTGAGATCACCACATGAACATCTGTGCTGCAGACCTTCAGCCCTGGTGTTACCTGGATAACTGGCTTGATCCTGCCCTGTTCACAGAGGCACTCTGCACTTTTCCCTTTAGCTGACCAAGATCTTATAAATGCATGGAACAACATCCCTTTCTTCATCTTTTTCAGCAAGAGAAGTTTTGTTGTTGTGACTGGGTATTCAGGAGAAGGGGGAAACAAAACAATGTAATGTGAGACAATAAGCACAGTTAGGAGCTGTAACACTGGACTGGAGTTACATGGAAAGAGTCATGGTCTTGGGGAGAACAGTTTTGCTGTCTGGTAAGGTGGGAATAGTTGCGTAGAAGTTTCATATCAAGCTAAAATCAATCTGAGCTTGCACATAGTAGACTATGTGATGGAATACTGCACTGGAACCTTGAAATAGAGATAATGGAAGTTTCTTCCAAAACTTCCCGAGCAAAAAATTATTTGAAAGAAGGACTTAAATTCATGCCTCCTGTTATACTGTAGAGCCATTTTTTCCTTTCTCTCCCATTTTTTGCCCCCAAAAAGAACTGTCTCCAAGTCTCCAAGAGAGAATGACTCACTCTACAGTCGCTGCTTCAGGCAGCTGATTGAGATGTGAAAGACCAAGAGGCTAGGCAGCGAGTCTCATTACTCATCACTTGCATAAATCTTTTAGCAGAAGCAGTGAAGTGTTACAGCTGGTTCCTGTGAGATCCCTAGCACCTACTGAGAGAGAACAAGCTTTCAGTAACTTCTGAAATATGTGTCAGACAGGCACCCTGAAGGAGGGTACTCAGTTCAGCATTACACTCCTGCATTTCCCTACACAAAACCAGATGTATCTGGCAAAACCTGAGTCATCTAGCTAGCAGCATTTAATTAATTCTGATGTAATGTTGATTGCAATTAAAATTGCTAGAGAGCAGCCCACCGTCTTCAAATTGTATTGGTTCTGTTTAGGTTGGTGGGTTTGTTGGGGTTTTTTTTGTAAAAGAGTTGATAGTCACAGACTGTCTGCCTCCTGGGTTGTTAACTGATGAAATATTTATTCTCTGTGTATCAGGGGCAATAGTTTGAAGAAAAAGCAGTTATACAAAAGGGAACAACCCAATACTTATCATGGATGTCTTTAGAAAAAATGGTATGTCACTAGAATTCATTAACTAAAACTTCCAGAAAGAACATTGAAAAGGGATGAAATTCACACAAATAAACAGAAAGTTGGTATTTGTTTTAACTAAAGACTAGGTTATGGGCAGAATGTCTAGTCTCTACTTTGGTCTTTTAGAGGAGCTGATGAATTTCACCCCGTTAAAGTTACTCTTTAAACTACACACTTAAAACTGATCATAAACAATTTGGGGGAGGAACAGAAGGAGTGATAGCACAGAACTCTGCTCTGTAGATTAGAATACTCCTGAATTTAGCTAGTCCTTATTCCTCTATGCAGTTCCCTTGAAGCCCATTAGGACTATTTCAACAGGCAAGGTTTAGGAACATCTTATCTGCAAGTAGTAAAGGTAAAAAACAAAAATCCTTTTTAAAATACTGCAGAGAAGCGTGTCTGAGAACAGCCAGACTGTAACAGCCAGGTAACATTACACCAGATGTTGGGATTTGTTCTCAAACAGTGAGGCTTCCTCATAAATGACCCTTCAATGCCTGAGTTGGAAAGATCTGCAGCTGCAGTTTGCTCATCATCCACAAAAATGAGGACAGTACAGGCTGCATATTTCAAGCAGTTCTGAGTCACAGGACTGAGTCCAGAAAACCTAGATATTTATAATCAAAGACCAAGTTCTGAACTTTTAACTGAACACAAGTAGCCTTTACATGTTAACATCAATTGTACTATTTGCAACCACAGGAACTTGCTTGAACAGAGAGGCCTGCAGGAAAACTTCTGAGCAGTCCAACCTCTCTAATGCTGCTGAGGAGACTGCAAGTTTAGGGAGGCAGGATATTCCACTGGGAAGAAGCACTCTGATCTCGCAGATGTGATGCCTTTTCCAACAGTATCAGTGTCTTCTTGCACAAAGAACACTCCTGTCACAGAGGGGATCTTAAAGAATAGAACTAAGGTTGTAGGATCCTCTCAACAGATACAGATAACTCATCTGTGATATGTGAAAGGGCTACACAGAAACTTAAATGCTGCACATCACAATATGCACAAATGGGTTTCTGGAGGTGTAGGGAAAGATTAAGTAATCATTATTATTGACAGAGAGAAATGTAGGAAGGATTTTCTAGAGGAGATGAGACAGGTGAGGCCAGGATCTCCATGGTGGTGGTCTATGAAGCACTGTCAGTTCCAGGAAGGGATCTGGAACTTATGCACAGGTGAGAGAAACTCAGGTACACAACCTTTTGGGACAAAAAGAACCTATGTAAGGATAGGCTGCACCATAATAATAGAAGAGCCAGGCTGCTGAGCACTGAAGATGGAATAGGTTACAGAAGAATATTTAACCTGAAAGCCCAAGGAAAGATGGCAGATGTGGAGGAGATCTGGTTTAGATCGACGCAGTCTACCAAGTGAAAGTGGCCAATGCTTGATGTGCCTCTGAAAATATCAGAAGGGAAAAGAGCAGCAGTAAGGCAATTTAGACCATCCATAGTACCAGCTGGCTGGTACAGAAAACACTGAGTAAGTGAGAGGAAAACTTACAACTGCTTTAGAAGCCCAAAAAATATGATGGGACAAAATTCCTGGAACCCAGAGATAGCCCCCAAATTACCAGCACCTTAAAGACCTGAAAATGGCCAGGCTTGTATGCAGTCTGTAAACATCCTCTTACTGCCATCATTGGAGACAGAATATCAAGTTATATGACAGTCATTCCCCTCGTCAGGAAGGACATTTCTTCTGTTCTTATGTTCACTGACATAACACAAACACAGCAGTATGTGCTCAGGCACCAGAATATGTAGCATCCACAGACTCAGGGTGTCTGTGAGTACAGTGGGTGACTCTGTAAAAAACACTCCTTAGGCTGAAATCTTACCTGAAATCTTTACCTATCTTTATCTGCTCTGCCAATGTTACTTTAAGATAATCTTTTTAGTTTGGCTTTTCACTCTTTTTGTAAAGCCATAGTGATAAAACAATTTTTGAAAACTCATGCATGCCACAAGAACTGAAACAAAACACATATGAAAGAAAACACTTTTCAGGGTTAGCATGGTGAGCATACTGAAAGTTATAACTAAAAAAAAAAGCTTACGTTCATAGCAGTAGGCATCAAACTTGCTATCTGGGTAAGGAAAGCCTGTTTGGTTCTCATAGCGATACAGGGTTCTCACCCCAAGTAAACCTCCACCACACTGGGGCCTTGCCACTGAGGCTGGGTAACGAACGCTGCCGTCTGCCAGCCAGCCATAGTCACACTGGTCAAAGCCATTCCTCCAGGCGACGTACATGTTCCCAACAGAAGCAAGAACACCATCTCTTTTCCGACACAGCTCTTTAGCTTCCTCAAAGGTGAGCTTCTCGGGGACTGAGACATGAACCACTTCATCTAGAGGAAGAAAACAAAGATAACAAACTGAGTCACCATCAAGTCAGCTTAGTTTCTCTCTTCCAATCAACGTCCTGTAAAGTTGGGGGTTTTTTTTTATATAATTTGTTTGAACAGCTTTTTGCTTCAGACAGTTGGAAAACCAACATCCCAGATTTGAATATGAAAATGAACCTGCCACAAATCATGAGCATTTCTATGCAAACTTTATGCCATGAAGTACACTATGGTTGGAGATTGACTCCCTCCCTCAGTCTCCAGGCAGAGGTAACAGCAGCCTTGAAGCTCTTCTGTGACCTCTGTTGTCACAGACTTTGCAACTCAAATGCGCTAATTAAGTCCAGTCCAACAGAACTTATTTTCTCAGTAAAACAAATATTTTACATCTGCAAGCCTCTTACCTGACCTTTTTAGTCATGACTAGAATCTCACTTGACACACACAAAAAAGAAAATGCTCTTCGCTGGCTGCTCTACAGCAACTGCTAATGTCATATTTCCATCAGTCTTCATCTTGTCCCATGGAGAAACAAAGGTGAGGGAATACACGAGACATGTTGCATGCGCAGAGCTTTTTTTTGTGTGTGTAAAAAAGCTGAATTAGTAAGAGTGTTGGTAGTATAGTTTAGCTTCCACAGAACTTATAATTTTAAAATTATTTACAATTTGTAAATAATAGCCTATCCAGTTGGAAATTGAAACAAAACAAACAGCATATCTCTTTTTACTTCCAAGCTAAATCACCACTGCACAGTTGGCTTGATTCCATCATTCACCCAAACACTATAAAAAAAAAAATCAAAGCTCTAATGTTCATATTCTGGGAATGAAATGGTAAACCATCTCCTTTCTAATTCTCATATGCAATAGATGAGACATAAAATCAACATGTTCAACTGTAAAAAAAAAAAAAAAGTGCAGATTCAAAATATTTGTTACAAAACACTAATTCTCTTCCTCAACTAGGCCAGAACACAACAGTCACTGTTGCAGGGAAGCAGTGCTTAATCATATTGGACATGCAGTCTGTCTTACCTCTGCAGTTGACTCAAGGCAATCTGGCAAAAGATAGACAGAAACTACATCACCCCAAGCAGTTTCATTCACATCAATATTACACTTCTTTTAGGTCTTGAAAGGAATGCAAGTGTGAAAGGAGGCAATGTGCCAGTTTTCTTTTTCCCCCTAGGTAGAAGCTCTGATTTGTTATTATAGCTGTACTATCAATTCGATAGTGTAAGTTTCTTTATAGTTGTGGGGAGTTTCTAACTTAGAGGTAAAGGAACAGAGCATGTCTATTGGGGAGGGACAGATAAGGAAAGCAGAGAATCATTCATCCTCAGAAGTACACGAATGCTTCGTTAGTATAATGGATATTCATGGATAATGAACTTTTTAATTAAACACTTTGGCAGAAGACAATTTTTTCTGTGTCAAGGGAGAGATCTGGCATCATGGCCAATACAGAATGATAGATGCAGCTATCTCACCATACTGTCCCAACAGCAGGATCATACAACAATGGGGCAAAGAAAGGTCTCTCCAGAGCAGCCCCCTCTCTTCTGAGGACTGATCACTTATCATCTCACACAGCAGCTATGATGTATATGAAAATTAGTAGTTAAAATGATTAAATAGCAAATATCAGGCTGGTTAGACAACAAAATGGGACAAGTAAGCATTGTTTAATGCATTTTAATGGTTTCTAGAAACAAATATGATGGATCAAAATCTAAATAATGTCAAACAATCCCACAACATTCCTCTGGGAGAAATTTAGAATACATATAAAATGGGTAAACAGTGCAAGATTAATAGCAAAGCAATTTTTCCATTAACTGATCTGGAACACTGCTTCCAAATGGAGCTTATGCATATCACTAAAGTTAGGGTTATTTATTCCTCTGAGCTGTCATCTGCTCTCTATTAAAGGAAAGAAACTCACTGGATGGTTATGTCTTTGCTATAAGACTTCAAAATGCAGTGTTCAATCAGTGCTTGCGTAACAGTGGTCACTTTGCAGAGAATTTACTTATCCAAGCTGGACAAGATCATTTCGATATGGAAATCTGACTTAAATTTGCCTTGGAGTATACCCATGTATGAAATACTGATAATACTGCACATTTAAAAGAGGTGTGGTGTATCTTCCTTTGTGTTGAATCTATTCTACTGACCCCACATCTATTTATTTCGTTCATGTCTTAAAGTCAGCTGCTGTCACACAGATACCATCTTTGTCAAAGTGTATCTTAGCAGAAAAACTAAATGATAAGAAAACCCATGCTCTTAAGGAAAAATGCATCCTAACCAGAACAGTCCAATAAGTGAAGACTAAAGTCACTTTCTTTGCCACCTATTCGGTATATTAAAGAATTTGTGATGAAAAATTCATGAAGAAGGCAAAAAGGTGCCAAAGCAGCCAATAAAATGGCCTTATTGTCATTCCATCATATGCCAAGTAAATACTAATTTATTTCAAGAATGATAGTCATAAGATAAAGGATACAAAAATGTTAAAACATGGTAGCTTGCAATTGCTCTATTTAAAGAGTGTTTTCCTATGATTCCAGGAATTTTATATTTTAAAAATTCAGTAAAGTGCAAAAGTCAGATTCCAAATAGAAGCCATTTACTCTAGGAGATATGACACTGCAATTTGTCTGTCCAGTTTGAAAATTAAAAATAATTCTGTATGATTGAGCATTCACTTAAAGTGCATAATTGTTGGAATGAAATATGTAAAACAAAGTAAGAGTTTAATAAAGATTTTCTTTGCTGTCTAAATCCAGAAACACTTAAAAGTTGTCCTGCAATCTTCAAAAGCCAAAAAAAAAAAAAAAAAAAAAAAAAGAAATATCTATATTCTGTGTTAAGTGCTTGGGAAGAAAACAGTGTTCAAAACACTCCAGCTGAATGGCATCAGTTTGATTTGCAGCAGCTCCAAATTGTGTGATAAGAAAGTTTGCACAATCTTTCCTGTTCTTCTCACCTTGAGCAGACTGTGGGCATGTATGTTTCATGCACAGCAAACTTTGCACTTTAGGGATATGGCGAGTCGTACACCACAGAGACAACAATTCAGGACCTACTGTTTGTGTGCAGTAAGTGCAATCACTTGGAATGTACAGGGAAGACATTTTGATATCCATGTCACTTCTCTGACATGATGAGGGCTGAGGCTCTTGCTCACTACCAGTCTCTTTGGTCAGAAAGAGATGGCTACGAAATTACTGATGTCTTGGGTACATGTTCTGAATGCACTGTTTAATAATTGCCCACTTCTTTATCCTCACAGTAATGTGGAAATTCAGTTTATCATATATGGAAAGGGCACTGGTCCCCTACTTTATGGTCTATATGGATTTTTCTCTCACAGTGAAAACCTGGGTTGGAAACCATGTTGTTCCCCAGTCAGCCTACAAAATAGCTGGTCAATAGAGCAGGAAACACAGGAAGCAGAATGTGAAGAAAGGTGCTGATGGCTAAAGGAAGAACAGCAAGAAGCTCTAGTAATTCCTCTGGCACTGCCAATCATTTGGGGAAAAATGGAGCTCAGGTTCTGCTGCACTCTTTTGTGTACTCAACCTCAAAACTGACAGCAGCTTTCCAGGCCATGGAGAAAGGGCTTGTGCTCCAGTCCTGACTTTCAGCACATCAGTCAATGGAGCTGAAATATCCTTACTCCTTCAAAGCGCCAGAGAGAAAAGAATTTGACCCTTGCACTGAAACTTCCTCTTAAAAGCAAAAAAATATTAATGGTGAAGCTAATAAAACATATTTAATCCTTGCAGTCTCTACAATTAACTGCTATTTTCAGAAGCACAACGGATTCCATGTTTAGCAGAAGGATTCATCCTGTCACTCTTTCAGTGTCTTTATTATGATGTCTGAAATCACCTCAATTTCCCACTGGAACCAAGGAAATTAAGAGAGAAAACCTATCTGGTCAATAAACAAATGAATAGCCACCACTACCAAAGCAGGGCATATTCAGTCTTGTGTGTGTTAAAAGCCACGTGCAATGTTTTTATAGCTGGAGTACACTCCAAATAACTTAGCAGATGAAGAGAAGCTAGTTCTGCAGTACCAGGGGGTGAAATTGAGACCGTGACAATGTTTAGAGTGCAACAATAATGCAATGTATATTATTGCTGGCTCCTGCTTAAAACCAAGCTTCAGGGTGATCGTCCAGCCTCAACAGAGCACTCGAAGAATCCCCAGGATTTTCCTCTTACATGTGCTTGTCTTGTTTGATTAAAACATACACCTGATGAAAGTCCTGCTTTTTCCCTCTCGTTCAAATATATCAAGCCAGATGAAGAAGCCAGATTTTTGTCTTGAAGACAAAAGCTGAATCACTACAACGCCCAAGGAAAAAGCTTAAGATCTGCAGACTTATCAGTTGGTTTTATAGCAAGCTTTATTCCTTTGAAGGTTAATTCACTTATTTTCTCTCATCAGGAGATGTCTCACTGAGCTGGGCATGTTTGTAGATGTGAATTTTATGAATCACACATCTTAAAAGAGAGCACAGAAATAAGGGCAGGCTAGAACCATAGCCGGGGGTCAATACACAACATGTATTGACTAGGGTAGAAGTAATGAATCTAGATGTAAGCCCTCCAGCACAGACCTCACCAGTAATTTCTTTTTTCCATAAATGAAATCACAATTAAGGGATTGGTGGGCTACTACTTCCTAGAGGAGATCTTTGAGCCTGACTATGTGGCACTCTCCTCCCAGAGCACAGCATCATCTCCTCAACTTCACATACCATCACCTACTATGCCAGGCACAACAAAATGAGTTACACGTCACTTGCACCTGTCAGATGAAGGCATCACATGCAAGACCATGTCAAATGTTTTACAGATATCTGAAGGATTCTCCCAAACTGCGGAGAAGCTTAAGAGGTAACTTGTGAGTCTCCTACTGAATGCTTTGACAGATCTGGTAACACACCAACTGCAGTGGATGATGACTGATCAACCACCTATG